AAGTGCCAGTGTTAACTTCCTCACAGATTTATAAAGCCCAACCCGTCATACAACTTTATTAGTCACATTGTCAACAATCTTTTTTTTTTTTTTAACTCCATCCCAGTCCTCTGCACTTTTTTTTTCTCTCTAACAAAGAAAACCTTTGCAAAAACAAATTAAGATTAATGTCCACACAACCTCTCAGCTTGTCTTGACTTTAAAGTTTTTGTCTTCTTTCCACTGTTTATCAAAAAAAGTCTCATACTCCTTCTCTGATATCCTCTGTGGACCTTGGCCCTCTTCACACAGACAACGTTGGTTAATCATTACCAGCCTGTTGGTTTATGTTCACGTCATCAGCTGCCTCACGATGTTTCCTGAGGTGTGTCCCAGACACGTCTGCAGGCCCTGATCTTAAACTTCACGCTTACATTTCAGTTAATAGCTTGAACTAAAATTAAAAAATAAATAAAAACTTAGGTATTAAAAGATTTGATTGACAGTGACCAAACAACCCTCTGACTGTCATCACATCAGAATTGATGCATGAAGATATGTGACAACACTTTTTTCCAACTCAATACTCATCAGTGAAATGCAGAAATCTGTAATGGAAATAACTCAAGTATTTATACACGTAAAGGATTAAAGTAAAATGCATTTTAAGTTTATGACTTTCCATCAACCAGATGAGAAAATACCTGCAATGCTGCATTTACAGTGTCGGCAAAATGGGACCAAGAAAAACATGCGTTACTCCAACTCAGTGTTTCCACATTGTGCTTTTCTTCGTTTTTACTCTCACCAGATACACAAGATGGAATTTATAACGATTTGTTATTTTGTTGACACAAAATGAGCTGAAATGATTAGTGTTAATATTGGATTTTGTTGTCCCCACCAGTCCCCTTCCTCCTCTCCTCCTCCTCCACCATCTTCCTCCTCCTCCCGTCCCCGGCCCACCTCCCACCTATTCCCTCCGACCCGGTTCAGTTCTGACCTTGTGAGCCACTATCTGTCAGAGATAAAGACTACAGTACCCAGAATACCCCAGAATTTGAGGGTCCTGCGGAGAGGGGTGAGACAGGAAGGTGTTGAGTGTGGCTGCTGCAGACGGGTTGATATGATTTTGTTTTTCTACATATATATTTTCTACACGGTGTCTGCAGGTCCTGGATTGGAAATAATAATTAGTCATAAACTCAAATTAAAATGATTTAAAGCTGTTAAAGTGATTTGATATTTTCCAAATATGAAAACCTGCAGACGCTCTGTTGTGTGGTTTCTCTCATTCATTCATCTTCTGTTTTTGTCTCTCTTGATTTGACCCTTTCTCTTTCTCTCTTTCTATTTCCTTTGTTTTAGTGATTCTTTCTCCCTTATTTGTTTAAGGGCGGATCCTTGGTGATTGATGGTGTGTTTGAGGGATTTGAACGGTTTTGTGGTTGCTGAGTTGTCGTTTGGGGGGGGAAAGGGAAAATGAAAATTCTTTACCAACATCAGTTGTGTTGCTCTGATGTTGCTCTTGTGTGAGTTTGCGGTGATGTGTGTTGCTGTGTTTGCACGGTGTCAGTTTGTGGTGAAACAGAGCTTTCTGCTTCCAGACAGACTAACACCCAGCCTCCGCATCTAGCATTTTTTTTTTTTCACCTCTTTTTTAAATATTTCTGGGGATTGTTGTTAATCAAACAGTTTGAAGCCAGCTGTAAAAACATGACTCTATAGTAGAACTGGAAATTAAAAGGAGCAGAGGGGAATGCATTAAAAAAATAATTAATAACTCAGGAACAATCATCCTCAAGGAATGATTCCCCCGACCAATTAAAAAGACCAATTGAGGAAGAAGAAGAAATAAACCTGTAAATGTTTCTTCACAAGAATTCGTCTTCTGTTTGGAATGAAAGCAGGAAACAAACTCAGAAATGAATCATTGTACAGCAGGAGGACAGTGTAAATACTCAGAAGTTAATGTACATTAGTGTCATGTACAAGAACTACTAGTGTAACCTGTAACTGTCTTTCAGTAATTAATAAGTTTATGAACTTTTGGAGCCTCCTGGTTTACAATCATTTTCTTTTGTACGTGTATTGTTTGACTGACAGGCAGCTGTTTTAAAACACTGACGACTAACCAGCATTCAATGTTGTCTGTCTCTTTTTACTGGGATGGTTAATGCGTCAGTGGTCAGTAAAGATGGTAAGTAAGTGTGTAGAGAGTAGTTATATGAAGACCCAGTAGTGTGTCCTTCACAGTATAGGACTTCCCATAGTGTCCAATATATAATCCCAGTAGTGATGGTTAGTTAATGTTTTCCTTCCCCTGTTAGAATAGTTTTCCTGCACTCGGTTAAAAAATATTCACCAAACTAAAACTGTGTCTTTAGTGTAAATAGAGTTCCCAGGTAAAAGCCACATTGTTCTGCTATTTGCGATGCTAATTACTATTATTACATGAAACATGAGACAATAAAACGCTTTTAATAAATTGTATTTGAATACCAAGTACAATACAAACAAGGAAAGTATTCAGACCAAGTTACTGATTGAATATGTAATATATTCCTTCCATCAACTGCTGTTTCCAAGGTCTCAAGTAAAACTTGGCAACTCTGATGACACGTCCATAACATGCTCTGAAAATGACATTTTAGCATCTGAGTGAAAGTTTTAAGGCACTAAACATTTGAGAAGATTAGTTTCAAGGTCGTACATTTCATCCAGAACGTGTCCTGTGATGTTTGATGTATCAGCTTTAATCTGACGTTATTTGGAAGCGGAGCGAGTGCCATTAATAGCACGGAGATTATTTTACTTTAATTTACTCATTCACTGTGACAGACAGTTGCTACATGTTGATTTGATATGTTTATTTTCAAATCTCATTCTATGGAAAAACTGTAGCCTCTTGGCTCCACAAAGATAGTGGGAAAAAAGTCAGTGGTGTCATTATAGTTTTAACACATCTGTCCACACTCCAGACAAACTTGTGCAGTAATCTCTATTCCATCTTTACCTCATCCTGAGTTGGTATGAAGTGATGTTAAAACGCTGCTTCTCGTCACCAGGCTCCGTCTCTGGAGGATTTTAGTCACTTCCCCCCGGAGCAGAGGAGGAAGAGGCTGCTGCAGAGGATCGACGAACTCAACAAAGAGCTCCAGAAAGAGATGGATCAGAGGTGAGGCCCTCGACAGTGAATCCACTCGCAGACCAAACCATTAAAGGAACTGTGTGTAACTTGTACTGAGCACCAGCGCCCCCTGCAGCTGCACATGGGGATTCTTTTTGTTTTGCCTCGTGTCTGAGCGATTAAGTGGTTTTCATGTCGAGAAAAAACAAAAGTCTTTCAAAGAGTTGAGTGGAGCTCTGACTGAGATTCCTTCTCGCAACTGAAGGCAGATATTACCCATGATCCCCGGCTTCCTGAACCAGAAGGGCTGCTGCTCTTTATATTTTAAAAGTTTGCTGCTGATTATTGGAGATAAACTCTAAAGTCTCTTTAACTGATCTACAGTTCAGCTTTACTCTGCAGCTTGCTGGAGCTGATTGATCGAACCTAACGTCTCCTGACTCCAGAGCCTGTTTGTGTGTTTCTGTCAGAGATGCCCTGAACAAGATGAAGGACGTGTACGAGAAAAACCCACAGATGGGAGACCCCAGCAGCCTGCAACCTAAAATATCAGAGACCATTTGTAACATGGAGAAACTGCGCTCGGAAATCCACAAAAATGAGGTAAAGAGCATTATTTGAATTCCAGCCGAATGCAGCTCCTGACAGCTTGTGGTGATGATAGCGCCACCTCTTGGTCAAACATGTAAAGAGACACTGGTGTGGTGTGAACGACGGAGTAGTCAATTAAAATATATACTTGAATGTGCTCATGTGCTTTTCACAGACTTGGTTATCTGAGGTGGAGGGAAAGCAGAGCTCCAGAGGAGACAGAAGACACAGCGCTGACAATCACCATCAAACTCCTCAAGGCAGAGAAAGGTAGAAGCTTTTCAAAACAAACCCTGCTCCTCAGGGTGTAACGCACAACGCTCACTCCACCCTCCTGTCACCCATCAGTCCTGAGGGCAGTTACACAGACGACACCAGTCAGGAGCATCACACGCCTCACCGCCGCCCCAGTCCCGCGCAGCCCGGGAACCCCAACCCCCCCAACCCCGACCCCCACGAGTTTGACGACGAATTTGACGACGATGACCCGCTGCCTGTCATCGGACACTGCAAAGCGCTGTACTCGTTTGGTGGTAAGAACAAAGAGCTTAAAATGTCAGTGAAATATCGTCCTCCAGCTGTCGCTGTGTGGACGGACCAACAGTAATAATAGTTTAAGATACCTGATCGTTAATTTGTGACGTGTGTTTTGTACCAAGACGTTTGAGACAAAACAATCCAATCTCACTGTGCTGGACTGATTTATAGGTCAGAACGAGGGGACGCTGGTGATGGCAGAAGATGAGGTAATGTCAACTCATTGTTGGACCTGTTTAGTATTTAATTAAATGTGTGTACTTGATATTTCTTCTTCTGTTGTAATTGCTGCGGACAGGTTATCACATCCTGTCAAATCTAACCAGAAAACACCAGATTGTTCAAATTCTTCACGCTGCCAGTTTCCCTACAAATAAAATATATATATGAAACTTTTCTCACACTGATTCTAAACTGTTCTGATTCGTCGACAATAACTTGATAAAGCGACTGACGTAAGAAATGAATTTCATTCATATCTTAACGCTCGTAGGTGTTGTACATCATCGAGGAGGATAAAGGCGACGGCTGGACGAGGGCGAGGAAGCAGAGCGGAGAGGAGGGCTACGTCCCCACCTCCTACGTAGAAATCACCATGGAGAAAAACAGCAAAGGTGCTGTCACCTACATCTGACGCCACACTGTCCCCCGACCTCACCTCCATCCCTCTGTCACTCTCTCCATCTCCGCTTTCTCCTCCTCCTCATAACACTACAAAGGAAAAAAAGACAGCATCTAAACACCTGCACGGACATTCATCTCTTTCTTTTTTTCCTGGTTTCCATCCCATCTCTTTATCCCTCTCAGTCTTTCATCCTCCCGTCATGTGTGTGTGTGTGTGTAGGACTGTTTCAGAGGTGAGTGTGTGAGTGTGAAGACAAATGGAAGAAGCTACCTGATGGTGTGTGAGTGATGTTTATCTTGCATTCGAGGCATTTCTCTGTTTTTGTGTTACCGATGTCTCCGCTGCTGTTTCGTGCCCCGTGTCGAGGCCACGCCACTTCTTGTCGATCAAAGTGTTTCAGATTGTTTTATTTAATATATCAGAAACTATTTTTTTTTATTTTTATCCATTTATCTTTTAATTGTTGTTGATTTTTTTCTTTCTTAAGCTCTTTGGATTCAAGTGTCGGCAATTTTAAACGAAAGATTTTAATCTGTTCTTTTTTCTGAAAGTGTGCGTGTTTGTTTGTTTGTGTGTGTGTGTGTGTGTCATCACACTTTTAAGGTGGTATTACACTTACAGAGGTTTGTCTGTCGTTGATAAAACAAAACATTAAAAGTCTTTTGAGATTAATTCAGAGCTGAAAACACCAAAACCAACAATGTTCCTCTCATTTCCTTTAAACCCTGACTGTGGCACTGCATGAGGAAGTTCAGTCATTCATGTATCCGCCACTTAAACAACTGCAGGTCAGGTCTGATGCAGTTTTAGACTTTGAGTAAACAATTGATGTAAAGAGACATTTTTTTTTTCCCCTCCTCTCACTTAAAAATACAAAATAAACTGTGTTTGGAAACTGCTCACCTGAGTATTGACTGCAGCAGATTCAGTAAGTTATGAAGGAACAGTGAAATTCTGCACTGAGTTTAATGTTTGATAAAAAATAAGCTAATAATACTACATTGTTGGTTTTGGACTTTTCATGGGATTCATAGAAGAAAAACTTCTTTTACTCTCCTGTGAAATGACACCCGGCCGGTCAAAGCCTAAGAAAATGGTTTTAGTTGTTTTTACAGGATTGTTCTTCTAGTTCTCTCTGACAGAATCTTTATTTTATGTAATTCTTGGTCATTGTTTGAGTCACTGATTAAAAACAGCTCTGTCACTTTTCTATTGACGTCCATGATGATATTAATCTGTAGTGCAGGTGTTTGACAGTAACTGGACCCGAATATATATATAGAATTATTTGCAAACCACAGTAACTCCTCCCTTTGTGAAGGCTGCTGTATAATTAGATGTAATATTTGAATAAACTGTCGAAGCAGGAGCAGTTATAAAGTTCAACATAGTTACAAGCTCACAACCACATCATAGTTTAGTCATTATAAACATTTAATTATTTATATATAATTTACTCTGATATATATATATATATATTTAATGTCAGACGTCTGTTCTGCTTCAGTTCATCTCAGACAAAATAAGGACAGAGAGCAGTAGGATCTTCTAACGACATGAACAGACAGAATCTGCAGGATACTTCAAATTTTCTGAATTTTTTAGTCCTTTGTTGAATTTTCCGATCATTTCGTCCGATGGAAACTCTCGAGGTCGTTCGGACTCAAACACAGTCTCTCTCTGTGAGCGCTTTCATTCTGTGACTCTGTTGAAACTCAAATCGTCTTTTTATGTGTGTGTGGGTCTGTGTGTGTGTGTGTGTGTGTGTGTGTGTGTGTGTGTTTTAGTAACCGGCCCTCTCCTCTATGTGACCGCAGGTTCCTGAGGGCTGCAGGGTGGCCGGGCGATTTGATTGGCTGGTGGAGGGCTCACGCTGATTGCTGATTAATGGTGGTGTGGGTACACGAGGAAGAGAGAGAAATAGGAGGGGGAAAAGAGAGAGAGAGAGAGAGAGGTAGAGAGGGAATAAAGAGAGCGGAAGTGGGCTGGGAGGGAGGTCTGCATGTCTGCATGCTCACATGATCGGCATTTGCGGGGTTACGAGAGAAGGGAGGGAGGGTTGTTCTGAACGTCGAAGCCGCACGCTGGCAATCATTTACGGGATCCCCGATGTTACAGTTGGATCCTCACAGGAGAAGAAGAGCTCGTGGAACAGGAAACGATCACAAGCTGCATCTATTTGGTGAAGATGCCGATGACACAATATCCCAGCGACTCTGTCCGCAGAGGAGCGTCATCAATGTAGTTATGAAGTAAACGGACCCGGGGATGTCCTCGGTCAAGCTCGTGAGCAGATCCAGATGTTGGTTTGCTTTTTCAATTTTCAGTATTTCCCCAAATCTGACTCCCAACACAACAAAACGTTTCCTCTGAACTTTTAGTTCAAACTCAGCGTTTCACATTAACTCCCAGGCTCAGGTCGTTCACAGCGTCTGCTCACTAACAGTCAGTGCCGCTCTGCTCCGACTCACCCCCGTCATCATCGTCGTCCTTATCTGTGCTCTGTCGGTGATGTCTGCCTGCCTGAGCCACTCTGCTCCTCATGCCTGTCCTCACTCATCCAGTCGCATGTTTTTAACATGTCATTGTCAACCGTGACCGGGTGACCGTCACTGCAACCTTTCTTGTGTGTGTGTGTTTGTGTGTGTGTGTGTGTGTGTGTGTGTAACGTTGTTGAATGCCTCATCATCACGATGTGTTCATGTACCTCCAGCATGAGTTTGATTTCTTTATGTTTGTTGAATGTCTCCCGAACAGCAGCTGGGTAATATCAGATCCTCATTAGGCAGATAGCAGGACTATCGGGTGAAAACAGCCCCTCTCTCCTCCTCCTCCTCCTCCTCCTCCTCTTTCTCCTCCTTTCCCACCTTTCCTACTCTCTCCTGTGGTTGTAATTCCACCAGCTGACCAGCAGACGGCAGTCTCTCTTCACCTTAACCGGACTGGGCCACTTTCTTTTTCTTTTCTTTTTTTTGACAACACCGAACAAACGAGGAGCTCCGGACGTTGCAGGTCAGATTCTGCCTTAAAACTTCACGTTGTTGGTTTTTTTGTTTTTTTTCTGTGGATGGATTTTTTTTCCCCCACACACATCTCCCATCAGGCACCTGGGCTCGGCCCTGGCATCGGTGAGGGGACTCAGCTTCATCTACGTGAAAAGTTTTTCCTCATTCAATCGGTTGTATTTGTGAATGTGACGACACGCACGCATGAATCAAGAGAACGTGTACGCACAAACACGGGACGCCAGTCAGATCAGAAATACAGTTTGGCGTCCCGCACACTCTAACGTGTAATTGTGTGTGTACATGTGTGTTACATGTGTGACGTTAGTTTTTACCATTGAATGATTTGTACATATTAACATCTCTTATGTCATGTTGAATGTGTTTCCATGGTGACTGTTTTTAGGTTTGTTTGATTGACGCTCGTCAAGAGACAAAAAGGTTTGAATGGAACCGATGCACTTTGCCCTTAAGTACTACAGCAAATGAATCTGATTATAAATGAGCGAGTGAATAAATGAATGTGTGATCTTTACGAGTGAATCTAAAAAAAAAAAAAAAAGAAGGAAAAACAGCGTAGAGTAATTTTCTCTTTCGAAACGGTTTTATACTTGTTTTCTAACTCGTCAGAAAACTTCTTTTGCATGATTTTCTATAGATTCTCATTCACTCTGGTGATTTATGTTTTTAACCACTCACCGTATCTGTTCAGTAGAAAAACAAAATGACTCAAAGTTGGACTTAGTTCTGATGATATTTAAGAATAAAGAAGCCACTAGCTCTCAGAGCAGCATGTGGCCAAGCCGGAGTGCTAATCTGTGTTTCTGCGATGAAGCTGTGAAATGTACAGAGCGAAGCTGTAGATGTTGTTACTTGAACTTTCCCCGATTTCACGACTCCACATTTCCTCGACCGTCTGGGACCTTTCTTGTATCGGACATTAAAGGGGTATTTCAGAGATTTTAGTTTTTCACCGGTGAGAGACGGATCTAAACGAGTAGTAGCTTCACTTTTAGCTCCTGATGTGGCTCAAACTCTACATTTCTGGGACGTTATTAGGATTTAACGACGTCGTTCTGCTGATTTGGATTTAAGATTTTTCGGGGATGCAAAATGGCAGTTCCTTCAGTTTTGCCCCTTTTTCATGACGATGCCTTTTTAAGTACAAAGATCCATCAATGCTTTTTTTTTTTTCTTGTCCAGATCTGATTTCATAAATGTCTCCAGCTAATTAATCAACCCACCGTTTATTTTCTCAATTAGAAAATTCATTTTTTTTTGCTATAAGAGTCGATGTCTTCAGTTGTCATGTTGTCTTGCAGCAGTTTTTTACTAAAGCAACCACCGCTTTTTATTCTTGATTTATCATGTGGTCAGTGAAATAATAATTTATATCAGAATCTTGAAGAGCCCGAGGCGACGTCTTCCAGTTTCTAGTTTTGTTCAATAAAAAAAAAAAAAATCCAAAACCCAAAGATTTTCACTCAGAGAGAAAACAATGAACCGTTTAAGAAGCTGGAGCGAGTGAATGTAATTAATTAATTTACCATCAAATGTATCCATAAATGATTTCAGTACTAAAACCAATACTCTGCTTATTATCGTAATTGTAAATGTGCACTAAGGCCGAGAGGATCGTCCTCTGACGGTGACACGAGAATAAAAACATCTTCTTCACGTGAGCTGAGTGTTTGTGCTGCCGTCTGTCGAACTCAGTCAACGATACCAACTGTTAAAGAGACACGTCACTCTGAAGACTGAACTGTCCCTTTAACCAAAGCCGCCGGACGTCTTCTGACACAGCAGCTTTGAAAATGACCAAAAAAAAAAACAGGTAATTTTCTTAACCGTTATTATTCCTATAAACACTGAGCTGCGTATTATAATACCCACTGTTCTGTAATCCTGAATATTATGCAGAAATAAGTTATAACAGATCAGCTTTGAGACGTTAACCACGATTAAAGAAACTTCTTGTAGAAACAGTTCTTTACTGAAACCTGCCAAGCTACTGTGAGACTGTGAGCGTGCTGCTGTGTCTCATCCAGCAAAAATAAAAACCGACGCGTTCTTCTTCACGTTCCTCTTTGTGCGATCGTCACGTCAGCGTCCTGCGGAAACTTTGCTCCTCTGACAAGCATGAAAATAAACGTCAATCTTTTTGTTTTTATATCATCACTCGAACATTTACAGTGAATAAAAACAGCAGGTACTGGGTGTTTCAGTCGGATATTAACACGTCAAATCCATGTAAATGTGTGTTTTTACCATGTTGTGTATGTTTTAATAACCAATGGCAGTACTTCTCTCCATATTGTTGTGCACATGTTTTTACTTTGAATGTTGTCGGACACTTTGTGAACAAAATGCTTTTTTTCTTCTTCTTCTTCTTCCAAGATATTGTTCTAATAAAATAAGCAGCAATGAAAAGTTGATTTGTTTCTGAGACGTTTTGTTGATGGAAGAGATTTAACACTGTGACCTTCGACCTCCTGAGTTTGGACACTAATGGCGTTTTGCTTCTAAACTAAACTTTCTTACACCTTCTTTACTTTTATGTCAAGTTCAATTCATAAAGTACGTTGCAATGAAAATATCCCTAATATTCATATTCCTATTTAAATGTTAGAGAGCAAGTTTAAATAATTAAAATCACAATATTCTCGTTCATGTAAACAAAACAAATAAAGCACAAAGCTTTAAATTCTTATTCTTCAACCAGACAATCAGTGTGAAACAATGATTTCACCTCCACAGTTCATTCGTCCTTATTTATTCAATCTTATCCACCGTAGTTCATAATAATATAAACATTAGAATTCATCAGCATCTTATTTTTTACAGTGTTCTACAGAAAATATGTACAGTCAGTTATTAACAAGCTAATGCTTCGGATATTTACAGCTTCAGTCTCATGTTCAGGTGTTTTATAATCTGCTCCTGGGCACAAAGTCTTGTTCTTTCATTTGTGTGTAACATTAGTTAGAATCCAGTGAGAATTAAAACACGTGAAGTTAAATCTTCACGTGAACAGAGAAGTTTGGATTTTTTTTAATTATTTGTAAAGTATCTGACTTTCTGCTCCCGTGTAAATGTTCCAGAAGATCGTAGTTCTTAAAATCGTCTCAGGAAACATCATTGCTCCGTGTTATCACCTTTTTCTCTCGCTTGTTAAACCAGCAACAAACGGATCAGTTACTCCAGAGTTAAATAAAGTTTCCGGATGTGAAGTTTCCAGATGTGAAGTTTCCGATCGTTAGTTTTATAGTTAGATACGCTAACGAACTGAAAAACAAACAGAACTATGAAATATTAAAGTGTATTTACTTTAACTTTTAAACTACGAGTGAGTCTGAGAAAAAAAAAAGAAACATGTATATTATATTCTTTTATAAGGCTTGTGGCACCTTTACTGTGGAAGAGACCTCAGGCCCGAGTCTCGTTTCAGAAGCTGTGATATGATTTGTGGAGATGGAACCAGGAGACTTTGAGCTTTGGAACAGTTTTACATGTTTTGCCGGAGCGTGTCACAGGTCCGTGAGACGACTCAACGAACACAACGTGTTTTAAAGTGGAGGAATAAGAGCTTCTTTCTCTCATTGCATCAGTTTTTCGGTTCCTCAGTGTTGAGTCCAGCAGCTGCTGAGCGTTGTACGTTTGATTCCGCCTCACGTCGCTCTCCGATCACCTTCTAACTTGATGCTTTATTTTGTCTTCCCTTCGTCGCAGCTCGGCCCCGATGCCCCTGAAGTCCGGCCTGAGTCAGATTAAGGTTTGAGTTTTGGGTGGGGGCTCCAGTTTCCGTGACAACGCAGTGAGGATGAGGTTGAATTTGCTGTAGCGATCCGATTGGTTGACCGAAGCTCCGCGGCTTCCCCACAGCAGCCGCAGCTGGAAGTCTGTTTTGAAGACCTCCAGCAGGTCTTCGTCAGTCTGAAACCCTGGACACACAAACACACGTCATCGTTCTGAGACGTTTCACATCGAGCACATTTTTAAAAAACACTCATTCCGTTGTTTCTACCTTGTAACAGTTTCTGTGCGTTGGCTGTGTAGCTCTGTGCGCTGTGCGCGACGCTGCGTGCGGCCTCCAGGTGGCGCAGCATGATGTCGCAGCCCTGGTCGCTGGTCTCCCACAGCTCCGCCCCCTCAGGCGTGATTGACGGACGCTCCATCAGAGTGAGGAGCGGCAGCAGGAGGGGGACGCAGACCCCGGGGGGAGAGGAGGCTGCAGGAGGAGGAGGAGGAGGAGGAGGAGGAGGAAGGTCAGTCACAATGATGGGTGAGACATCCAGATGTGATCTCTGACTGTGTGTGTTTTTGTGTGTGTGTGTGTGTGTGTGTGTGTGTGTGTGTGTAGTACCTGTGCCCTCGTACAGGTTCTTGTAGAAAGGTTTGAGAGTCTTCTCGTAGCTGATGGCCGTCTGCGTGTAGTTCCGTCGTAGAGTCGTCCATGTCTCCTCCAGTCGGCTGATCTGCACAGGGACAAAATTCTAAGTCTCAGTCTGCAGCCTGATTGGCTCCTTCAGCCCTTCATGTGTGCAGGGGCGGGGCCTCGGGGCTCAGAGTCCAGGCTGGGGCGGGTCCCAGTAGGTCTTAAGTTTTACCCAACTTTTTGAAAAGAGGGTCAAAGGTTCAGTTTCCATCAAACGAGATGAAAAACAAAACCTGGTCATTCACTTTATCATGTTTTTAATACAACACACATCTGAGTGTGTGTGTGTGTGTGTGTGTGTGTGTGTGTGTGTGTGTGTTCGTGTGTGTGTGTTACCTGCGGCAGGTCCAGAGCTTTCATCAGGGCAGTGAAAGCGAACAGGTCGCCCACCGTGTCCTTCAGCTCCAACGCGACGAGGATGATGCGATTTAACGTGGACGCCCGCTCATCCACGCTGCCCGTACATCCCAGAATATCCACGGCGACGCCTATCGCCATGGTGTGGTGTCTGGGCGAGACAGGAAGGACAAAGAGAGAGAGAGCGAGAGAGGAGGATTATTACCATTTAGTTTTTATAGCATCAAATAAAACGAATAAAATCCAAACGTTCTCAAACATCTTTGATAAAAAATGTGTTTGTTTACGTTGTTTGACTTTTTGATTTTGTCCATTTCCCCTCCACTAACATGGAGGAGGCGGGGTTTATGACCCAGCCAGCCACCAGGGGGAGGCAGAGACTTGTCATGTCGTCCATCTTTACTTACAGTCTGTGGCTCAAACCAGATGAGGATGACAGGAATCGGTTTTATATAAAGAGTCAGACGTGATGACGTCACCAGGAGGAAAGATAAGAAGGTGTGTGTGTGTGTGTGTGTGTGTGTTGTGTGTTAGTGTGTGTGTGTGTGTAACGTGTGTTTGTTGTGTACCTTTCCATGAGGTCCAGCCTCAGCTGTCGACCGTGCGGCAGCGTCACCAGCTCCAGACCGGAGGACACGCCCATCTGACCTTTGAGCTCTGGAGTCACTCCCAGTATCCTAGCAACCTGCAGAAAAGGTTTTAACGAGGGGATCAATTACATTTGTTCTTTTTTTTTATTTTTTATGTCCCTCTCTCTCTCTCTCTTGTGTGTGTGTGTGTGTGTGTGTGTGTGTGTGTGTGTGTGTGTACCTGACAGTCGGCCATCAGCAGGTGTCTGGCGATGCTGTGGTGATTGTGGCTGAGCAGCAGCTCCTTCGCTCTCTTCAGCACCACCATCTCCAGAGGTTTGTTCTCCGGCGGCAGGAGTCGAGATCCGAACTCTGCCGGTCTGAACATCGACTCCGTCTCCTCGACCGGCCGCTGGAAGCCGCTCCTCCTCCTCTTCTCCTCTCCTTCCTCCTCCCTCCCTGCATCCTCCTCCTCTTCCTCACTGGTGTTCTCTAAGGCTGCGATGGCGTGATGGTAGGAGCTTCTGTCCAGGCCTCTCCGTCCTCCCGCCTCCTCCTCCTCGCCGTCTCCTTCCCTCCTCAGTCTGTCCACGTAGCTGCAGAGCGGCGGCTGGAGGTCGAGGCCTTCGTCTGTGATGGAGTCTGGAGAGATCGGCTCCCCCCACTCCGGCGAGCTGCAGGACCTCAGGTCCGAGGGGCTCGGCTGAAGCCGTTCAGGAGGTGAAAGCAGAGAAGTGGAGGAGCTGTGAGGAAACTTCTGAGGCTTCGCAGGAGGAGCAGGAGGAGCTGAGGACACAGAGGAGAACAAATCCCATCATTGAAAGTTGAAAGCTTCAGTTTGTTTCAGAGCGACAGTGACTCTCTCGTCTTATCTTCATATTACACTAGATTTTATATCTTACCTCCACTCCTCCACCCAGACGACGGAGTCTCCTCGCGTGTGGAGTCCAGAGTCGGAGCTGTGAAGACGGAGGAGGACGGGTCTGTGTGGTTACAGGAGGCGGACGAGGGGGCCAGCGGCTGGAGGCAGGGCGAGCGAGGGAGTCGAGCCAGCGGCACCTTGCTGGGTTTGGGAGGAGGTTTGGGACACAGCTGGCTGTCGGAGCCCCGGATCGCCTGACCTGGAGACACACGAGCACATGACGTCACGATGACATCACACAGCGCCTTCTACGACCAAACTGAATCGGTCGTCATGGCAACAAACTGATAATGACTCAGTTTAGTGAAGTGAAGAGGAAACACATCAATCCGTCTTTAATGAACTTTATGAATTTGAATCAGAAAAAGCAAAACGCGTGAAAGCATGAAGTTAAATTCATTTTCTTTTCTTTTTACTTTTCTTCTTCATGCTTCTTTTTCATTCATGGGATGAAAGTATTTTTTATATTGTGTGTATTGTTTTGTTTTAACAGTGAAATGAACAGAATAAACTTCACGAAACTAAAAGTTTTACACACTGTGTTGAAGTTAATGTGAAGTCTTATACGGACATTAACAATATAGTGAAGTACTTCTGAGTATTTATTTTTTTATTTTATCTCCAGCTGCGTCCACTGACCTGCCAGAGGCTCGGCTGACCTCCGGGGGAACGAGGGGCTGAGGGCCGGCTCGCTGCCCGTCCGAAACACCGGAGACTTGGGGTTGGGGCTGGGGAGGAGCGGGTCGGGCTGAGGTTTAGATCCTGGAGGACGAGAGAGGAGTGAAGGTGAGAGTGAGAAGAAGTGAGGAGATCCAGATGAGAGCTGATCACATCTGTCCCTGATCATCTTTTAGTTTTTCTAGATTTCATCATGTCACCGTTTGTTACTGACCAAGAGGTAAGAAGCTCTCTGATTGGTGCGCCTTGAGGGGGCGTCGCCTCTCCTGGATCTGATTGAGACTCGCTGGTTGGCTGCCGCAGCGATCCTTCAACCTGCGAGGAGTCAGACATCGATTAACGTATTTATATAGAAATTCAGAATGTGAATTAAAAGGTGAACAAGACGAGGAGAAAGATATCAGAACTCCCCCTGACATCATTTCTCCTCTTTTCTTTCCTCTCTTCTTTTCTGCTCTGTACATTTGTCTGTCCTGCTGACAGATGTGGACTCATTCTCACATCTGTCCCTGCAGCCGTCTCTTTATATACAGAGGACTCGTGGTACATATGGAACGTGTATAAACAACCCAGCTCCTGGATGACGGACGTGGAGCTCGGGGCTGCGAGCTAAAAGCTCGAAGGTTTGATTTAAGTCTCTTTACAAAGTGTGAGAGAGGAAGAGAGACAAAGAGAGACGAGGACGGAGACGCTGAGTGTCCATCATTTTAAATCCTATTTAGTCTGAAGCTCACGGACTCACAGTTCAAATCTCTCCAACAATATATTAATCAAACTGGACAAATATATATATACGACTGGAGAAACGATGGTAGAAGAACATAATGTGAAAATACTCTTACTTCAGTAAAATACTTTTACAGTACCTGAAGTAAAAGAAAGTATTATGCAG